TCTATAATCAAGAAGATAAAGAAAATTTTCAAGTACAAATTCGAAAACTTCTTAATCAAAAACTCATAAGAAAAAGTTAGCCCTCACAGTAGCCCAGCTTTTATGGTTAGACAGAAAACCAGAGAGAAAGATGCTATAAACTTGGAAAATTATCATTGATTGTTACACGGCATATACAGCCAATTTACAAGACTTGAACATTCTAGAATTATGTATCATTGGCATGTCTAACTAATTTCTACCAGCTGGCAAATGAGTTACACTGAAAATTAGGGACTACGGCATCTACCGTGCATTCTTTTTGGATGATGTCTGTTGGTTGGCAACAATGAATCATTCTAACACCACCCCCCCCCTCCCAAGGTAGAGTGTGTTCCAATACTCTAAGCTTGTCCCTAAGAAATTGAAATTTAGAACATGACATAGGTTTGGTCAGGAGATCTGCTGTTTGATCTGAAGTAGGTACATATTTAATCTTTAGCTTATTTCCAAGTACCTTATCTCTCACGAAGTGAGCATCTAGCTCAATGTGCTTCGTGCGAGCATGATAAACAGGATTTGAGGCTAAAGCACTAGCACTTAAGCTATCACACCAAATAACTGGGATTGACTTCTATGGAATTTTCAGTTCCTCCATTAGCGACTGAATCCAAGTGATTTCTGAGGCACGGCGAGCAAGTACTCTATATTCCGCTTCCGTGCTCGACCTAGCCACAACATGTTGCTTCTTGGAACACCGTGATACTAAGTTATCCCCAATGTATACACAATATCCCACGATAGACCTTCTATCATCTGGGCAAGTGGCCCAATCAGAGTCAACAAATGCAACAATGTCAAGGCTGTCATTCCTTTGGATAGTAAGTCCATGACTTAGTGTCCTCTTTAAGTATCTAAATACCCTTTTAAGTATCTTCCAATGTGTGTGAGTGTGTCTATTGGTGCCTAAAGAAATTAGCTCAATCTATTCACAAAGTAAGTCATGTCCGGCCTTATGTGAATCAGATATTAAAGGCCACCAATTGCACTTCTGTATAAGGTGGGATCTTTCATTGGTTGTCCATCAGTTCTGGAGATTGGTTTTCCAACTGCCATAGGTGTTAGGCTGGGTTTCAAATTTTCATATCCAAACCTTTTTTAGTAATTCAGTGGCATATCTTGTTTGATTTAGATACAAACCAATTAAGTCTCTCTGTGCTTCAATTCCCAGAAACAGTTTCAGATCACCCATGTCTTTGAGTGCAAAGCTGATGTTCAACTTATCAATAAACTTCTGCATCTATTCACTGTTATTACATGTTATCACAATGTCATCCACATATATTAAAGCAAATATCACATCAATTCCTCTTGCCAGAAAGAACAGAGAATTGTCGGCTTTAGACTGCTTGAAACTCCATTCTAACATAGCATTCTTCAGCCTATCATGCCAAGCTCTTGGAGCTTGCCTCAAACCATACAATTCCTTTTTTAATTGGCATACAAAATCAGGATGTTTTTCATTTACAAAACCATGTGGTTGGTTCATATAAACTGTCTCACTCAGATTACCATTCAGGAAGGCGTTATTTATGTCGACTTGTCTGATCCTCCAGTCCTTTGCTACAGCAAGTGTTAGGATGATCTTCAAGGTTGAAGCCTTAAAAACAGGGCTAAAGGTCTCGTCGAAGTCTACTCAAGCAGTCTACAGGAACCCCTTAGCAACAAGTCTGGCTTTGTGCCTTTTTATTCCTCCTTTTGAGTCACGTTTCACCTTGAACACCCACTTGTTGCCAATAATGTTCGATCCAGCCTTATATGGTACCAATTCCCATGTATCATTTTCATTAGGGCATCATACTCCTCTTGCATAGCTTTCTTCCAACAGATAATTGATAAAGCTTCATCAACATCAACTGGTTCAGTTTCTGTTGAGTCATCCACTATTAGGCTTGCATAAATTTTTTGCTTAAAAATTCCAACCTTGATTCTAGTAATCATTTGATGTCTAGTGATATTTCCACTTTGCATAATTGCTTCATCTGATTCATTTCGAGCCTCAATTTCAATCTGCTGATCTTGAGATGTCTCATGAATAGCTGGTTCCTCATTACCTATTTCATCACAATGATGTTCTGTTTCTAACTCTTCTTCTCCATCAGTGTGGTCTGCAGAAGGCAAATCATCAGGTTAGGTTGTAGCAATTGCATTCTGTGGCGGGTTGTTATGACTGGGATCAATAAATGGAAGAAGACTTATGGCATTTTCATATGTGGATGGCTTGACCTTTTTGTTCAGAAAACCTGTTTCGAATGGACATTCATTTTCATTGAACACAACATGTCTAGAAATGTATACTCTACCACTTGAATTCGAGCATTTATAACCTTTATATGAATCACCATGGCCAAGAAAGACACAACTTTGAGAATGAAAATTAAACTTATGTTTTTTATAGGATTTAAGGCACAAATAACGGCATAGCCAAAGATTTCAAGCTGATTATGGTCAAAAATTTTCTTGAACAATATTTGATAGGGTGAGTTGTGATGAAGTACTGGTGTGGGTAATTTATTGATTAAATAAGTTGCAGCCTTGAATGACTCCCACCAGTAATGAAGGGCATTCGAGCCTGGGCCAAGAAGGTTAACCCCATTTCTGTAATTTTTCTATGCTTACGTTCAGCTCTACCATTCTGAACTGGTGTGTAAGGGCAAGAATATGAACTCGCCTCACTTCAGCTCCAAAAGAACTTCAGTTTTAAAGGCAACTTTCTTAACCTTACGCATCACACTTCTTGAATTCCACGCACAGTATGAATATCTCTGCCTGGACTTGAGGGACTGATGTGAAGTCAAAAAATTAAAACTTTTTCTGACTTATTGAAAGCCCACGCATGGCATAAATGACCACACATAGACTTGGGGGACTATTGTTACGAGTCATAAACGGAAGCAACACGTGGCATCATATTTTAGCAGTGGGACCAGTTTAATTAAATCAGGGTATATTTTCCTAGCCTCCGACGTGGATTCCGAGGCCTTGACTTATTCCACGGCCATTATTGTTAACAAAAGCCACGGTTCGGTAGACATGCACTATCCGAGGCCCCTTTGATGCAGCTAGTGGAGATCCACGTGGAAAGATATAGCAATGATGAAGATCTTTATTTGAATGATTGACGTGACTTTTGTGTAA